AATGGGATCTGAGCTATTCAGACTGACTTTTCCTGGGCTTAAAGAGAAGATTATGAAAATACCTGGTGAAATCATGTTTATTGGGATGATTCAGGGCAGGCTGTCCTGGCACCTGTTTCTCCCATGATCCCCAGCGCAGCAACCTGCCTTGTGGTTTTATTTCGGTCGTTACATTGCTGTGGAACTTTGGGAAAGTCCCTCAAATTCCCAAGCCTCCAGAGTCCCCAGCTATAAAACACAGGGATAAGACTTGTTGATTACCCCTGACCTAGAAGACAAGTCGACATCATCATTTAATCCAATCTAAGATGGGTGAGTGTGTGTGTGTGTGTTTTCATTTGAACTATTATTGACTTCAGCAGATTTTCAGAAAAGTTGGATTTCTATTGGCTTGGTGTTTCCTTCTTGATCTATGAATCAACAAGTAGCTGACAGCTAAGGGAAGAAGGTCACCCTTTGACCTTGGTCTGAGACAATGCTAAGGGAGCTATAGGTGGGAGCAAGGGCTGTATCTGGAAGAATTTATGTGCCTTATTAAACGGCTTGGCTATGGTCAGCCTGCCTTCTGGGAAAAGATGATCCTTGATAGCAAAGTCCTTCATATACACTCCTTTCACCCCTTTTCCCCCTCAAATCCCTAATAGCCTTCTTAATACAATCTTGGATTTTCCATCTTTTGTTAGCATCTACCTCTTTGTGTTTTAGCATAAGCCTGGAGCATAAGAATAGTCTTACAATTTGGGATGAGGGAAAATGCCGCAGCCTGTGGTCTTTAATGCCATAAGTATATAGTGGTTCTTCTTTTCCCTTGGTCAGTTACCCTTACCCCATTTCGTATTTCCGTAGCACCCTGGGCATCCTCTCTCATAATAGTGTAAACCTTCTCTATATGTATTTGTGTTTCCCACTAGGCTGGGAGCCCTGTCAAGGCAGCTTCTCTCTCTCCCTCTCTCTCATATTGCTTTCAATTGCCATTTGGTCATCTATACATATATTTGTGGAATACAAGTCAGAATGAAACATGATTGACTCTAGAGCAGTGTTCTATTCATTGCTGTATCCAGGGACACTAGAGATTCTTGTCCATCTTCCATCAGTGGACCCACATTTCATATATTTCCTTGGCCTTTATTTCCTGCCTGGATGACAGATGACAAAGTATGATTACCTTGTCCCATAGGATATTTTCACAATTAAAAAAAGTGATTTCATGTATCTCATATCTGAAAATGACACATCCTCACCCCCTTGAGAAGCTAATCATATGCACTCATGCCAGTTTGTCACACAAAAGCCTGAGGAGATCCCCCAACCCAACTTTATTTCCAGAAACATTTGAGGACAAGCACCTGCCCTGGTTTTCCACCTTCTTTGTCTTCCATGTAAACTTGCAGGAGTCAGAGCTCCACGCACAGAATTCATAGCTCGGAGGCTTGAAAACTTCTCTCCCGTTTTCATGTCAAGAGGATCTGTTTTGTCCTGTTGTATCTAAAAGAACCTTGAGTGTGGAACAAGGGAAAGGCCACAGGGAGGAGAACTTGTCTGTGTGTGGGGTGAATGGGGGTCCTGACCAATAGGGAGAAGGTTTACATTTGAATTCCTGAAATCCAACCAGTCCTGCGCTATGGAGGGCTTTTCTTCTGGCCTGAGCTTCGAGTAAGATCAGTGCTGGTTCATATTCTCTTAACATTCTCATAGTTGTACAGTCTGAGTAAAGATATAATCTTGGAACATTATAAAGGCATGTTGTTATGGAAAGGGTATTAAGAACCTCCTCCCTTCTCCTCTTCTTCCTCCTTCAAATTCATCATCATCAATATCATCTCCATCATCATCATCACCACCATCATCATCACCATCACCATCATTACCATCACCGCCATCACTATCACCATCATCACCATCATCACCATCACTATCACCATCAATCATCACCATCACCATCATCACCATCATCACTATCCATTGCATCATTCAAGCTCTTCATTCTTTTCAAATATCCTCCATCAATTCATTCATTTTGATCATCACAGAAGCTCTGAGTGGTAGGTGGGGGCAGAGCTTAAATATACCCATTTTAGAGATACGAAAAGTAAGGTATAGATGGTCAATGACACTTGTCCAAGACGCAGAGAGAGGAAAGGACAGACCCCAGCCACCTCTCTTCTGACAGCAGTGAGGCATTAGTTTTCTTTAGGGAGTAAGGGGGCTGAGGGTTTTCAGATGGGAATGAACAGGAAAGGTAAGGAATTGGATGAAACTGAAGTCATGGTTTTCATATACAGTCGAAAGGAAGATAAATGGGGCTGCTGAGTGCTTTTGCTATTATTGCTCTTGTGCTTTGAGCTGGTAGGTCTAAGTGGCAAGGCCAAGGCTTTCATACATTTCAGGTACAGAATAATACTGGCAAGAAGCAATGACTATGGGAGCACTGACAGCTGCACTATTGGGAGGGATGAATTCTCCTTTTCTCATCTCTGAACCACACGCAGCAGTTTCCAGAGCTGTGAATCATCCATTTGAGGGAAAAGAGGAAAATAGAAAATTAAATATAATTCATGCTTTGCTAATTGAAATCAAATACAAAATTCAATCTCCTGTGAGTTGCAATGCTCACGTTTAAATAGGGCAGAAGTATTATTAACCTGACTCTGTTTTAGCAGGTTGACTTGGCTTTTCTGGATAGGAAATAATTCCTTTGTCAAGTTTCCCCACTGAAGAAGGGGACATGGCTTACTGGCTCACTCCCAGAGTCACATGGATCAAGCTAGAGTAGACACTGCAGAAAATAGACCGTAAGCATGTCAAGTTTGCATTTCTTTTCCAAACCATGAACTTTCAACCATATCGCCAAATAGACCCTTAAGATAAAAACCCTCAAGCTCTCAAGGCTTTGGCTTCTGCCCAATTTCTCCAGAGAATTTAAGCCTGCTGTTAGATGCAAGAGTGTATACATACTTTAAGGCGGGGGGGGGGGCGATTCCCCACTTTTATTTTCCAGGTAAGAATGGCCTATTGGTGAACCGTCAGCTCACCCTATTAAAAACGGATTTGCTTGTCATATTTATTCGAGGACACATAATTACTAGGTTTTTTTTTTTTTTTAAAAAATGGCACTTAAGGTGTTAATGTTCTGGGTTTATGGGGACGGAGAGACAGCCAGGGAGATGGAAAGTGGAAAGTGAGTGTAATTGAGGGCCTGAGTCAATTATGTCCACCCAGCTTAGAAGAGATGAGGGTAAGGGTCGGCTGGTGTAATGGTCCCTCTTGGCTGGTAGAAAAATATCTTTAAAGCCTTCTTAGAATCAGATGCTCCTTTGACTGTTGTGAGATTAACTCTTACCTAGACCTCACTGAACTCCCCTCACCCCCAAAAAAGAAAGACCATGTTTGTCCCAGGAAGCCATGACACCCTGGGGGCCATTTCTCTTGGGAGTAATCCCCACAAAAGCTTACAAGGAGGACAGGACCGAGAATGACAGGGCAAAGAAATAAGCAAGCAAGACTTGCCTCCGTCTGTTCTCAATCCCAGTTCCCGTAAGAATATTTTTGAAAGGATAGGTGCCTGAGCTCTACCCTAGAGCTCCTGATTCCACCAGAAGTGTGGTCAGGAATGATGGTAGGAAGCTGTAGCCTGAAAAAAGCCCCACAGCCGCCCCGATGGGTAGCTAGACCCACTCTTTGCTCTGCTTATACCACAAGGCCCACATCAGCCCATAAAACACTGTTCTGAACCAGCATGCATTTTCTTCTTTCAAAGAGATGGGTTTGTATATGCCTGTATGTGTTTATCTGTATCTTTTGCTTTGTTGCTGAAAGCATATTCACTGCCTTTGGTTCAAAAACCACTTTCTTATCTGGCAAAAAATTATTTGTAAGGTTGTTTCTGAGTCTAGTGTATCAGTCCATCCCTCGCCAGGGTTACTTAAGAGAGAGAAAGCTGCAGTCCTTACAGAGCCACTTCCTTTGTGCTATTTTGAGAATTATCCGGCCCTGCAGACAGAATCTCCCGTAAGATTCTCTAATCTGGGGCTTTCTGGCCACCCTGGAGGAGGAGGGATCATTCCAGAATTCGAGGGTCGGGGTGGGGTTGGAGGTGACCAATACAAACACACCATCAAAGCCCATCAATCAGGTTGCATTAAGCTTTATAACAACACAGTTTTCATTTAGCGGGAGAAATGAATTTAATAACAGGTGAACAGACTTAGCTCCCCCCCACTCATACATATTTCCAAATTTACTAGAACAGTTCCTGGTTTTGGAGATCTGTGAACAAGTGCTTGGCGTCAAATGTGGCCTTTTAATCAAATCAGAGTAAAGGGAAGGGACACTTCGTTCAGCAGCCCTTGATAGGGGTGTCCACAGACAGCCCTTGCCCTCCCCTGCATCCACAGACTGGATCTGAAGACCCGCCATAGACGGAGGGTCTGTCCCGACCCCAATGTGCCATCTCTGAAGAGAGTAAGTGAAGCATCAGATGACCATGAGGAGGACATGGTGGGGCAAACAAGAATGGTGACTGATCCCCTGTTGGTTGTGTTGCTCAGGATTACTCATAATGGAAGACATGCCAACTATCTGGTCCTTGCCCGTCTAAGGACCCCAAGGGACAGAGCCCATCCTGAAAGCATTCCTCAGAACTGTGGTGCTAAGGGTCTTCACGTATGGAGACCTCCCACCAAAAGATCTGGCCTTCTTTTTTCACCCCCAGAAATAACATTTATCTTTACCAGCCTCAGGGCTTGGAACTCAAAGGCAATCATACGGCTCCAAGAACAGCCATGTAGGCCTGATTCTATCATGAGGGCCTATGTTAAGCTTCACCACAGCCCGGGACCCTCCTTGGAGGGCTCTTGGAAAGAAGGCTTCCAAGGGTGTCAGCTTTTATTTTTGTGTTTTTTTGTTTTGTTTTTTTGTTTTCTGGTGAGGAACGTGCATGCCTCTGCCTTCGTAAGGTGAGGAGAGGGGATGCCAAAGGGTTGTGGGATCAGACCTTTAAGGAGAAGGCTAGAGACACCTCAGAGAAAGGACCTTGCTCCCTAGGAGTCCTGGAGCACTCAGCCACAAATAGCATTCTGGAGAGATGCCAAAGCAAAGGTTTGTACAGCAGAGGGCTGTGCCAGATGCAGGGCTAGGACTCAGGCTTCTAAAGTGGCCAAAGTAGACCTTCCTTCCTCTTTTTTTTTTTTTTTTTAAATCACTTAAAGAAACATTCCTGGCACGGTCTCTGACCTTGACAGCTATTTATCCTGTCTTTAGACTCTATTAATTAGCAGAAGACAAGAATTAGCAGTGGCTCCTGGTGGCCATCTGGTCAACCAGATGCCGCTGCCCTGGCAAACCCAATGCCTCCATGAGGATGCCATGGGATCCATCCCTTTGCCTAAGCCTACAGCGCTGGAAGCAATCCCAGCTGGGCAAAGGAGGGGGTCTACTTGGCACTCCAGTGAGGCTGAGGCCACAGACCCCGGTGGGGGGGGATTTCAGGACTCAGGTAAGGAGCCTCCTTAGCTATTCACTAGCCTTCCCTCTGCTTCTCTAACCTCATTTGTCACCCTCTTCCCGTTCCCACTGGAAATCTTGACCAGTCATTTGGTAAAACATCATGTTGAAGGGCTTGTAGAATTTCTGCAGTCTGTGGATCACATCGGGGTCAATGCGGGGATGAGTCCGACCTTTGCTCTTGCCTAAGCATCTTGGGGCACTGCTGTCTTCTGGCTTCTTTAGACAAGGGAACCCCTTGGTTTTGTTGAAATAGAAATGTTTTTCAGTCACGACACGCTTGAGGCCTAGAAAATCCTGTACTTTGGCCATTTCCCCGGCAGGGTCCACTATGAGTCGCTCACCACTGACAAAGAGGATTTGGGAGAGGGGGAAATACTGGAGCCAGTTTTCCAGGTGCAGAGCATAGATCCCTATTCGAATGGCACTCCAGGAGGCGTCGATCAGCCCTAGGGTCCGGTTTTTGAAGGCCAGCACCTCGAAGGTGGGGATCTCGGGTTTCTTTGACAGCGTCTGGGTATAGTCAGAGATGGCCCTGGTCACAGGGTTCCTCACCACCACGATCAATTTGATGTCCTTGGCCATGGCATGGATGCGCTTGGGAGCCTCGTTTGTCACGAAGTAACTCGGTGTCTTCTCCATGGTTACCTGCCCATCCAGAGTCTTGGGCATCACATTTCTGGAAGAGGGAGGGAAAGGAAAGAGAGTGGTCATTCCCATCGAGAACCGTTTTAACTGTTCGCACAAAACATGTGACATAAAGAACCTCGTGGGGAGCTACAAAATAAAATTCGTTGATAAATCCTAGGGATTCTTTTTAACTCTATGTCCCACTATGGCTCTGATTATGGTATTATCAGGACAGGCAGCATAAGGCTTCCGCCTTCATTCTTGGGAACCTCATACACCTGGGTTTCAATTGCAGCCCTATCTCTTACCAGTTACGTTCAATGGAGATATGCTCTTAATTTCTCTATGTATTAGTTTTGTGTAATCTCTGAAACAGAGGTAATGACAGCACTTACTTCGCACTGTAGTAGAAGGATTAAGGGAGATAACACTTGTAAAGCATTTAGCACAGAATCTGCCACATGCAAGAGCTTAATAAATCAAGGAAATTACTATTGTTGTAGCGGCTTTTGGAAAATGTTTGAGCACCCCAAGAACTCAAAGATTATCTAGACCAGGGGTTGGCCAACTACTCCCTGCCTCTCATTTTTTTTTTTGTATGGCTCGCAGCTAAGACTGATTTTTAATCTCTAAACGGTTGGGAAAAAACCCAACATAATAATAATAACATTTTGTGATGCATGAAAATTATATGAAATTCAAATTTCAATGCCCATAAATAAACTTTCCCTGGAACACAGCCACACTCCTTCCTTGATGTACTGTCCCTGGTTGCTTTTGTGCTACAACAGCAGAGCTGAGTAGTTGCAACAGGGACTTTAAGACACACAGAGCCAAGCATATTTACTCACTGGCCCTTTAGGAAAATCTATGCTGAGCCTTGACCTGGTCCAAAGGCACCACTGTGCAAATGCAGAAATGAAGCCTAGAGACAGGGAACCAGATAGGCTTTGTGACCTGAACAAGTTTAATCACGTCCCCTTATTCTCCTCTGTAAAACCCTAAAGCTCACCTCAAGTTCAAGTTCAGAAAAAAATGACATACAGCGTGAAGGCATCCAGCATGGGTCTCGTTCTAGAAATGGAATTCTTCCTTACTTTGCTCCCCAGCTTGCCCAGTGAGCCAGTGGTAGATCCCACACCATGTCTCTCAGTTTCCTTCCCTACGATGCATCTCCACGCCCACCCCTCCATCTGTGTTCACCTTCAGAATGGCCACGTCCCATTTGGGAGCTTCAAGACATTAAAGGAGTTTTGATGCTATTTGTCCCCCAATCCCAATGTGGCAGGCCTATCAATGATAAAAGAGGCTCGGGATCCTATTACAGTTATTTTGCTGTAGGCATATGTAGACCAAAGTTAACAGACGATAAACCTGGTAGACCTGTCGGTACAGCAGGCCATCGACCACCATGTGTTCCATTAAATCTATTCATTTCTGAGCCCTGCACCAAAGTGGTACATTTAGGATTACACAAGACCTCTTTTTTGTGATGACATGCTTTTAAATGTCTCAGCTAAAAAAACTTAATACAGACGAAGATCCCTTAGCTTCCCCTACTATAATTAAATTTATTTACTATCGCATGTGTGGAGAAAGAACAACTTTTCTTTTATCTCTAATTCACATGCTCTGTCAATAATTAATTGCTACTGGGTTTTGAGCTTTCCTGGCAAGCACTTTTATTAGGCAAGAGGAATCTGCCCGGTAGAGAGCTTCACATAGGATTAGATGTTAGCACGTAATGACTGGATGGCCAGAAGTCTTCAGATTAAAGCCATAGCCCTAGCCATAGTCGTGCTCGTCTTGGACTAACGTATTCTCCAAAGTGGTTTGAACATCTTTATGTGCCTGTTGGGCTCTCACCAGATTTAACTGTATCATTCGGAGGTGCAGGGCTCAGGAACGCAGAACCTTTGGGAGTCAGATGTGCAGGACTGAAGAATTTCCGACTACCCTCGCCCCTGGGAATTTGATAAAACCTGAATTTACTCTGAAGTTCAGAGGACCTCTAGGAAGCATCCTTAATCCACACTGAACCCCAAGTTTCTCATCTCAAAAAAAATAGGGCTAAGCAGAGTGCCTCCCTCTTGGGATTATAATGAAAATCAAATGTGATAATGCAGTTAGATCACTTAGAATAGTACCCGGTGAATACCAGAGTCTTTAAAACCTACACTAGGTCTATAAGACTGTCGGCACAGCAATTCTTAGAGAAAAGCAAGGAAAAAATACTTCTACTTGACCCAAACATGGCAAAGCTGAACAAGTGAACGAAGGAACAGGTCTAGGGATAAAGGCTATTCTCACTCAAGCCCATATCACCAACCACACTGACCTGGAGGCTGGTGACAGATGAATTCAGCCTGAGTTCAAGGAACATGCCGATGTCCTATTTTGATTTCAATTGGAGAGATATATTCTTTTAGTATGAAACTCATGTCACATTATGAAAATATTAAATAAAGACTGATGTAAAAAAATGCCTGAAGACAGATATTTTTACATGGCCCTACCCAGATTTTTAATCCCTCACATATACTGTTGCTTGTTTATTTCGTGGCCTTTTTTTTTCTTTAGTACAAGAGCAGCTGCTAGATTTTTCTTTTTTTTTCTTTTTTTTTTTAATTTTATTATGTTATGTTAGTCACCATACAATACATCATTAGTTTTTGATGTGGTGATCCACGATCCATTGTTTTCGTATAACACCCAGTGCTCCATGCAGTACGTGCCCGCCTTAATACCCATCACGGGGCCAACCGTTCCCCCTTCCCCCCTCCCCTCTTTTCTTCTCATTTGTTCTCTGCCATTCACTTCTCAGACCTCTGCGTGCGTTTGTTTTTACGATGGGCCCCTTTCAAATTCATCTCCTTCACTTTGGCTAATTGCTACAGTCTGTCAAGACATGTAGGGATCTCAAGTCTTTATCTGAAGCATCTGGGATGAAAGGACACCCCACCTCCAAGCCACTGTATGCCCAGCTCTGTGCTCAGTGCAAAAGGGAACGAGAGGAGGGGTGCCAGGGAAGGCAGAGGGGAGCAGAGGAGTCTAAATGTCTTTGATCGTGTTATAGATGAATTAAATAAAACATGTCACTGAGGGAGAGGTCTGGCATTGGGGCACAGGCGGTGAGACCATCTCATTGAGCCAAGAGAGAGTCGCGTGGTACGAGCTACTCAGGATTTGTTGTCAGTAAGAAGATCTGCAGGAGCTGCTCAGCCTCTATGAAGTAGCCATTCCCCCTTCCCGGAACGGATTCTGCACCAGTTATATTCACTCATTCACGAATTCCTTTTCACTCCTGCAGTCCTTGCTAACTACCTGAATCATAGAGCTTAGGATACTATCATAATAGGACTTGTTCCCCAGCCCTTCATGGCTAGTCTCAGTCCCTCAAAGCCATGGGCAATGTTCTATTCACCTTTGTATCCCTTGGGTCTAACCTAGTGCCCGCCACATATGGTGGTCACCCCCTCACTCTCTAGGGTTGTTGGATGAATCCAGGAATGGCATACAGATGAAAGCCTGATCCTTGGACACGAGGAGAACTGGGGCACAGCTTGCAGGGCATGGCCCCTCTAAGTAGGGTTTCCACGCACGGGGGTTTGGCGTGAGTGAGTTCTGTGCCATCACTGTCTGAAAGACCATGCACTTCAGTGTGGACCATATGGGGAGAAAACACCACGTCTGGGCTTGGAACAGCTCGTTAACAGTATATGGGGTGCTCAGAGCAGCTGTGACATCAAAGTCAACACACAGGCCTGAAGCGAGAAGCGTGCTGCAAGATCACACATCTGCTCTCGTAGCCCCAAATGTTTGTGAGCCGCCATCCAATGCACTCACCAGCCCCGACTCCGGCTTCGGGGGGTGCTTTGCAGAGCACAAGCCCTGTGTGAGTGTGGGTCGTCGCTCTGGGGGCCTCTCTGGAGACGCTGCCAACAAAAGTTACCACCCTCCGGTCACAGAGTGCTCACTCTAGGCTATGGTCTGAATCCAAATTCAGATGCCAGATCCACTTCTCTAAGCACTTTCAAGACACTGGACTCTCCAGCCTAGTCGGTTAAGCGCACAGACTCCGGACTTTCCGAGTTTGGATCCACTTACTTATTAGCTGTGTGACCCTGGGCGAATGATTTAACCCAGGTAATCTGTAGCTCCGTCTCATTATCTGGAAAACGGGCATTGTACTAATAAGATCCATCTTGGAGGGATTTTATGAAGATGAAGTAAGTTAATATTGAAAAGAGTCCCTTATATAGAGAAGGTTCTCAATATGTTAGCTGTGAATGTTTAAACAACTCTCTTAGACACTACTGTTATCCCCATTATAGAGGTCTGGAAACTGAGGCCCAGTGAAATGGATTTGTTTGCCCAAAGTCACAGAAGTGGAGTTGAAATTCAGTCCCAGGTCTGTCTTGCACCATAGCTAGCCTGAGCCCTTTGTGGCTGCCTGACAATGATTAACAGAACTAGAGAGGCTGGGCAAGGTCACAGGACTTGCCCAAAGTCACTCTGCTAGTGGGTGGCAAAGCTGAATGTTAAAACGAGCCTCGTTATGTTATGTTGTAAAGGTGGGCTGTCACTGACTTACCACTGGGAGTTACAGAAATCCAGGCCAGAATCCCCAGAAATTCTTGCCAGACCAAGCTACACCGTTCAATTTGTGATATCTCTCTCTGGGGCCTCCTCAACTGAAGCAAATGGATACCATCATGAACACCGAGGGAGAAAGCAATCACCCATGTCAGATATAAAGTGCCCATTCTCTCTGGAAGGGTCAGTGGCAGAGCTTGCCTTTGGCTTGCCTGAATTGGAGATACGTGGGCAGCTCACATTTTCCCAAATGCATTTTCCCGTGGAACAAATGGTGCATAAATTAGCAATATTTTCTGAGCCCTCCTGATGAACTGTAACCCAAGAGAATGGTGGTTAGAGCAAGGGCATGAGGTAGGACCACTTCCTCCACATTGAGGAAAGAACTCACTTAGAAAGTCAATCGAGCTCTTGCTGTTTGCCAAGCCCGGAACAAGGCAGTTCCACACGGTT